CGATGCTATTATCTCGGCGGTGGTGCTGCTGCTGCTGGCAATCGAGGGCGAGATGACGTGCGTTCCAGCAATTGTCTGCGCGCCAAAATCGTCTAGCCGCGACGCAAGCCGCTCCGCAGCCCACCCACTTTGGCGCCAAAACTGGCCCGTGCTGCCGGCCTTCCGCTCGCTCCATTGTTCTCGCTGTCTGCGCTGCTGTGCGGCGGTGCGGCGCTCTCTTGTTCTTCTCCTCTATCATCACCATCGCTCCATTGCTCTCTCCGTCATTCTCCGTTTTCCGCACTGGCCCCATGTTGCCGCGTTGTGCTTTCGTAGTGTATATTTCTCGAATACACATTGCGTATGTGTGTGTATGTATGTCTGTGTGTATGCCTAGTATGTGTGTGTGTCTGTGTGTATGTCAAACAACATATTTATCTATGTGTTGTTGAAGTCGAGTGTGTGTGTATGTATGCATGGCATCACGTGTAATATATGTGTGAGTGTGTGCGCGCATATATATTTGTATGTATAGTTTTGCGTATATTATTCTCTGTTGCAGTTGTGTATGCGCAAGATTCTGGTGTATGTTGGTGTGTGTTGTGCACACATTTGTATGTGTGTGTATGTCTGCACATTTAATGGCCTCATCTAAATGAGTTGTATGGTGCATGTGGTGGTGTGGCCGCTCTCCTATATGTATCCTTGAAACGAGCTGAAATGCACATAGCTTTTGGAAATGAGGCTATTCGGTGTCTGTGCGCGTGTGTGCGTGTGTGTGTGTGTGTGCTACTAGCATTTCTATTGCAGCAGTAGCAGGAATGATTGCATTGAGAGTATTGGGTCTGTACGGTGTCTGTATGGGTGTGTGTGGCAACGGCATCCAGCAGTGTAGTGTGTGTGTGTGTGTGTGTGTTCCTTCACTCATCCATCCAAGCACGCACACACCCATCACAAACTACAGCGCTGCAATGGATGGTTGTGTGAGCATTGAGCGTGCCATATAAAATCAAGCGATTTCTGCTTTTCCCTGGGCCTGTGTGAAATCTGTTTCTGGAGTGATCGTTGTCCCGGGGGTTTGTATAAGGGGGTTTTTTTTCCCGGGAAGGGGGGTGGGGGGGTTTCAGTTGTTTGGATTGTTTAGATTTTCATCATCGATTTTGGGGATCGATTTCCGTTCCCAGCAGTCGATGATTTTCTCGTCCCTGGTTCCGGGAGAGGTGCAAATTTCGCGTTTCCTTGAGTTTGTCGCGGTTTTCCCACGGATTTGTCGTATTTTTCACGGGATTTTCGTGATTTTTACCCCCTCCCCCCTCATTTTTCCCCCGCAAATTGGACCAAATTTGGTTTGACGGTGAATTTTCGTTTTCCTCATGCCCGTAAATTAGGCTTCCGTAGCGGTAATTTCGATCTTTTCGTTCAAAAATTTCGAAGAATTTGTTGAAGTTTGCATAGCTGTTGCTGCTGTTGTTTCGCTGTTCTCTGCTCTTAAGTAGCTGATCCCTTCCGTCGCCATAGGCCGCCAGTGGTGGAAGGGTTGATTTTTGATCAATGTCCGTTGTTTCGTCGTATTCTTTTTCCGCATTTAGAAAAATATCTGGAATTATCGGGGGATAATTCTGTGTGTTTCAGTTTGTGATCACTTCTATCTCTCTCTCTGTCTCTGTCACTCGTTGCTGGAAGCTTTTTTCGCTTGCATCAAACAGCAAAACAACGTTTAAAAAAGATGGGCAAAGCAACGACGGATAATAAGAAAGCGGCAAAAGGTGGCAAGAAAATGAAGGATCCGAATGCACCCAAACGCGCCATGTCGGCATTCTTCATTTGGATGAACGAGAATCGCGATCGAATCAAGAAACCGGGCATGAGCGTTGGCGATGTGGCCAAAGCAGCCGGAATCGAGTGGGCTGCAATGACCGACAAATCGGTTAGTGCATGTTTTTATTCGGTTTTTTCTTTTTTTTGAATATTTTCAAGTGATTTCTAGGAATTTCAAGAGAAAAAGTTTTATTTTGCTGAAGGTGTCAAAATATATGTGGAAACCAGAACTTTGATACTCGTGAAAAACGGAGGAGCACTTGAAATTGGCACAACTGCTAATTTATGTAGGCAGATTCAAGAGAGGGAGGAAGGAGGGGGGCTATGGGCCAATGCTACAAAAGTTACAGGTAGCAGTGCTACAAAAGTCTGAGTCTAAAGCTAAAGCTGAAGAAAACTCTCTTCCGCATCCCAGTGCCCCCCTCCCCCTCTCCCTCGGGTCTATCGCTACGCCGGATGCCCCATTCCCTCTCCCCTTCCACCAGGAGGTTGTCCTTGATCCGCCTATGGGTAAGGGGCTAACTCGGGAACCAGAAAAGCTAGAAAGCTGAAATTTTAAGGGGATTTGTCCTTGATCCGCCTACGGGTAATTCGCTAACTCGTTGGAACCAGAAAAGCTAGAAAGCTGAAATTTTAAGGGGATGTTCCACAGCCACGTAAGTCTCAACGAGCAGAAACCCAGCTCTCGAGTATGCGTGGTACACACGCACGGGCCTACTAACATATGACAGCAGCAGCCATCCTCTGACAAGGCTGGTGGGTGCAGGTGAAACAGTATTTTCATTGTTCATTTTGGGCATCTCTCATTCACTGAGTCTCCCCATCTGGCGTAAGCGGATCGTTTTATCGCACTGGTAGTAATTCCTTGGTTGGTATGACCGTTTTATTGTGTTCTGACGT